AAAAGTTTCATGCTGTGGAAGACGTTGACTTTCTGTTAAACGTAGTTGACAAGCTACATCTTTGCACCCATCATGTGTTTGTGGATGCTTCTCCGTAAGAGTTCCATGCTGTGAAAGAAGTTGACTTTCTATTAAACCTAGTTGACAAGATACACTTTTTGCACCCATCATGTGTTTGCAGAACTTAACCGGGCAATTTTTAGCTCCTCCTGTATTTGATGCTGTCGTATGTATGCAGCAGAAAACTTTGCGGTGTGTTTCCTATTCAAAATCAAGAAAGGTATTTTTTGCCTGTGAAAGAAAGAATTAAAGAACTGAAGCATTTGACACACATTACAAGTTATGGACAGTGCATTTCTGTGCTGATGACCTTAGGCCAACCACTCATCAGGATTGAGTTGAACGGTAATGGATCACTGGTGGTCATTTGGTAATGGCGACTGCAGATTTGGTCCGTCCAAGGATGCCAAGACCTGAGACAGCGAGGGGTGGAGTTTGGCATCGTTGCCGGTGCACTTGGAGGCGAGCAATGCAAGAGCGTTGGCTCCTCTCTTTGGAACTGCCCTTTGAGCCTCGCATCCATGATTCCATATAGTTTGCGCTTGTCGCCCAAGCAGGGTCGCGCCCAGTCCACCAGCCTCTGTTCTATGCCTTTTCTCGATCTGTCGTGCGCTCAACACCCCGATAGCATCTCCAACAACACCACCACCTCGAAGCTGTACGCATCAGCTTTTGCAGACAGCCTACCTGCAACCAAGTTTAAAATCAGGTAAGGAAGGTTTACTAAGAGAAAGCATTTGGTTGCTTTGCTCATAAGCAGAGTGAGGATGATTAGAACCAGTTAAGAGAAGGTTGTTCAAACATTATGCTCTTTATCGTGCATGATCAAAAGCAACAGATCTCATTGACTAACGAGAATTCTGTATCTTTTCTTCTGGATTTCACCAACAATAATAAAAAAAATACTATGTAATTTGCATTGTGAATTCGGTATCTTTCTGCTTGTTTCAGAATACATGCGTTCTTGATCGTAAATGTTGGTATCTTTTATTCTGGATTTCATCAACAATAACAAAAAACACTAAACAATTTACATCATGAATACTGTTCCAACGGTAAGAAAGGCCTTCATTATCAGAATATAAACATGCAAATACTTTGTGTGCACAAGAAAATGGAGACTAGAAAGCATATTAATTCAGCATACCTGTCATGATGTATTCAGGAGCTGCGTAATCTTGAGTTCCCATGACCTGAGTAGAGACATGAGTTCTATCCCCAGTTGGTCCAGCTTTTGCGAGGCCGAAGTCTGAAAGCTTTGCATTAAATTCCTGCTCGGCGTGAAAGCAAAATAAGCTGTGAGGCTTTTATTCCGAAATCTTGTGTGCTTCTTCTTGGCACACACATCTCTTCAACATACTGAGTCAAGGAGAATGTTAGAGGCCTTGACGTCTCAATAAATTACTTGAAACTTGGAATCATGCAAAAATGAGAGACCCCTCGCTGCTCCAATCGTGACTGAGTCTTGTTGCCCAGTCGAGCGGCTGAGCATGTCCTAGGAATCAATGTGAGAAAACAAAAAATCTGTTCAGAAATGTGGAACTATTCTTACAAGAACATGTTAGCAGCATTGCAGTACACCTGGCAAATCTAGAATTGGATGAACATATTCCAAAAGTTCAAACATGTTGATGTGTTGTATCCTCATCAAAAAGAGTCAAGTTCTTCTATCCCTTCTGGCTAAATTAAAGAGTTGTCCATGCCAGTCTTTTCTGGATAAATCAAGTGATAATGATCAATGAACCAGAATGTTTTCACATATTTATTGGTACTCACTTCAGAAAAGGTTCTTCTCCAAGCTGACTTTTGCCATGTATTCGTAGACCAGAAGTCGATTATCATCGTCCAAACAGTAGCCAATGAGCTTAACCACATTCGGATGGTGAAGCTGACCAAGATAGTTAACCTCTGTCTGCAATCACTAATCAACATAACTACAAAAGAAGTAACAATTAGGAAAGCGCTGAGGAAATAAGATAAATAAAAACACACACCAACCATTCCTTGTGGCCTTGGAAACTCTCAAGTTTGAGCTTCTTGACAGCAACAACCATTCCGCGACCAGGCTTCGAAGGAGCAAGAGTTTGGTCATCCATCCAACCTTTATAAACATAACCAAACCCTACTTCTCCAATACAACATTCTGAACCGAAGTTTCTAGTGATGATTTTCATATCCTTGAGCGTGAAGGACTTCAAATTCGAGGCAGATAAGATTTCACCTTCTGTTCTTGGTGTGTAAAGACTACCACTAGAAGTTTTTTCACTGTACGAAGGCACGGTAAGAGTTGAGGCGGTTGAACATGTTGTTAAAGTTGAAGGAGCCGAAGATAAACTGGTTTTGCTCGTGACAACTTTTGAAGGATTTGTTGTACAAAGAAAAAATTAATTCGAAAACAAAACCACAAACACATATTAAGTTCAAGAAACAGTTGTGACTAACCATGCACAATTGCAGAAAAAGTAAGTCAGAGCACCATATCAGAAGAATGAGATTAAAGACCACATGGTTTGGCATACCGAATAAGGATTACAAAACACATAATATCCTGAGGACATCCACACAATGAGTACTCCATTTCCCTAGAAAAGTTTACTATAATTTCCTTATCAAGACGCAAGGTCCTCTTTTGATTCCAAAACCTTAATATCAACACTCAAGATCTATACCGGCTAAACCAGTTTGCAAATTCTGGGCTTGACAAGAAACACTTGCAGGGATAAAATAAACAAAAAACAGATATCCTTTCGGTTCACAAGCAACACTTAAATTAAGTATTGAAATTCTAAGAATTCTCACCATCTAAACTTTGCTATCAGCTCAGGAAGTCTCTAAACAACCTTGCCAATCTAAGTTGTAATGGCCTTCTGTCAAACCCACAGTGCCATTGATGTAAAGGCAAGACTACATGCAACCATCAATTGAAGTCCAAAAGATAGATCCTCTTGATGCAACTACAGTAGTACAAAAAAGTTTATCCTAATAAAATGGAATCCACCTTAGCTTAAATTTCTAAAAGTACAAAGGACAAACAATAAATTCTGAACTCCCACAAGAAAAATGCATGTATCACATATTTTCTCTTTGAAATAATTGGCCAATACAACCCACTTGATCTGTGATAAACAAGAGTCGGTTGATGTGCAAAACCGACAGCCCGAATGTAGATCTGTTGCTATGTTTCAGTAATTCAGACTACTATTACTCATAAAAAAAGAGATGCACAAAAAATTTGCTGCAAGCAAGAACACCTAAGCTAAACCAAAGAAGTAGCTTACTTAGAACCACAACATGCAAGTATGCAGCTTGGAAACCCAAAACCTATCCATTCAATTCCCCAAATAGCCAAAAGAAACCCTCAAAGCTTTTCTACTGACCAGTCTCTGCAACCAAATCCACCAATCATATGGAAAGCCCCAAGCTTTTCCCCGCTCCGAACTCAAACAGCAACCACAGAGGAACAACAGCTAGATGACAAAATTAAGCTACAAATCGACCAAAGCGAGCAGTTCAAGGGCTCACGTGGAGAGGTCTGCGCGGCCCGAGCGTCGTCGTTCCTCCACGAGGCCTTCAAGCAGTTCCCCATCGCCTCCTGCGAAGACCGAACTCACATTGGCGGCGGAAAGATTCGGTTTTTACCTACGTAACGCTTGCCCGGAAAGGCGGCCAAGGGAGGGGAAGCGAAGACGACTCGCCGCATAAACGACCAGCGCGCGGCGCGGCCCACTCGGATCCATGGCGGCGCCCGTACGGCCCCCATTAAAATGCCAGTGGACTTTCCAGGAATTGCGGTTCCGCCACAACGTCACCGTAGTTGAAATGGAAGCAAAAAAGGTCGATTTAAAGAGAGCGAATTTTGCATTAGGCTTCACGAAAAGAAGAGTAGAGATTGGAGATCAGAGAGTGAGCATGAAGCTTTCTCGAATGAGAACAATCATCATAAGCTGGGAGGAAGATGGAGATGCTCAACCGTACCATGTTCTTCTCATCTCGCCTGGTCAACTCATGGAAAAGAAAGTACAAGTCGATGGTAACTCTGCAGCAGCAGGGCTTTGACGATGACATGGTGAGGGTGGCACACCTCAGAGCTCCCGGTGCTCTTCTGCCATCACAATTACCCGTTCAATTCCTGTCATCAGACTCCAAACTTCTGCACTAAGGTTGCAGATTGATGTGTCTCCTCTACAGGCACCCAAAACATAGTCCTCCTCTCTGATCAGATGAGTGGATTCAGAACGACATGGCTAATGCGGAGAGAGATATATGGAATTGAAGATGATTAAAGAATCTCTGCTTGCAAGCTAAACAAAGTGGCTTTGCCTCTTGAAATCTTCACAGATCACTGTTCATCAGCTATTTTCCTACAATACCTTGTTCTCCATCCCTGACAACACTGATAATATTGTTCTTATGCACAAACTTGGTGTTGGTCTGCGACATGATGCAGATGAATTGGTGCATTGTTTACATGGCCTATCTGCTAAAGATGAACATTCAAGGAACTTATGGAGCTTTTCTCCATGGCTTGACATCACCGAGCAAAACCCACATGCCACTCAGACCAATCAGAAACCCAGATAAATCATGAGAACATGTCTTCAAGTCTGAGAGGTGAAGTACTTGGAACAACTCATTGATCTTGTCTACCACCATGACATCAACTGCTTCAAGAATGTTTCAGTTCCATAAAGAATCAAACTAATTGGAATACCTTGATTGTCATCAAGAGCTTCTATTATGTTCCTCTGAGACATTGAATGCCATACAGTTGGAGGTCACAGTAGCAGAGAAGAAACTAAAAGAGACAGAGGATGTGCAGATCAAGCTGCATGGATTTATGCATGTGTTATTGGCTGGACTGTGGCTTCCTGTTCCTACATTTCCCAGCCATGCCCACAAATTGCAAGAACACTGTAATGGAATGCATCTCTAATCTAATGGAGGTCAATGGTCAGGTCATGGAAGCATATAAAAGCATTCAGACTTGAAGGATTTTAATTGCTGGATCACCACAAATCTCACAACAGTGAATACAATGATCTTAAGTTTCCTTTAACAGGAGATATATTTTCCATTAAGAACAAATTAGCTTCAATTAGTGACATTAATCAGGCTGTTTATTTACCGGTGATGACGGGCCATTCTCGGGCCAGATTTGGGCCACTCGACAGAGACACAGACAGACATTTGCATATCATAATCCATTGATCTTCCATGCATAATTTGGTTTTCTTATAATTATAAGGCAGAAAGGGGCTGGAAATAAACATCAGTAGGAGGATGGTTTGGCAGATGCACTTCTTCTTCTTCTTCTTCTTCTTCTTCTTCTTCTTATATCAGAAACCTTCTGCATCTGAATCACAACTCAGCAAGAATGATGCAGAGCTAGAAGCCTAAAGTTCTCCATGTAAAGAGGAAGCAATTGCTCTAAGGTTCAAACAAGTGCTGTAGATATGCACACTGGGTGAGTGGTGGATGAAAGGGAAGCTTGCAGGCCTACAACTCCTGTGAGTCACAGTCCTTTAGAAGGAAGAAGAGGCGGTAAAGAAGCTTGCATGATTGAAGCTGGCAGGCAATGGGAGAGAGTTGCTCTCCCTTGTTGCCATCAGCGGCCAGTGTTATGTCGACCTTGGTCACATGGGGGAAGATGTTACCAGCTCCAGAGGTTAATCTGCAGAACGAGAAGAACACGCGGGGTTGTGTGTTGGGCTCCCATGGCACCCGAGTTTGGCAGCTTCACGGCCATTTCCTCCCATGACAAGTTCTTCTCCTGTCCCCCACACGCATCTTTGATGGACTCCCCCCCTGACAACCAAGTGGCCCTCTGCAACAGGCACGTCTCATTCTCAGACCCTGGAGCTTCACTGGTAGCGTAGATCCCCCGCCTGATCTACCTCTCACACGGGTAAACCAAAGCTAATAATTAGGCTGTGGGTGCGCCGACCGAGGAAGACGATGAGCTACGTAGGCCCGCGACGCACCGTCATGTGGATGCGCCCATGGTCTCCAGGTGGCCCGGTCGCCGTCGGCGATGCCGCGCGACATCGCCGCCCCCTCCGGGGAACACCGAGCTGCATGCCACCGTCATGTCATCGCACATCATCATGTCCTGAGGGGCGCCGCACGTCCCCATCACGCTCGGTGGTGGCCGAATGCCACCAAAACTGCACACACCACGCGTCTTTTCGCGGCACTGTCCCTTCTCATCTCTCGTTCTCCGCCATTAACATCTGTACTCTGGCGCCGAGTTGTGCTCAAGCTGGGATCATCATGTTCGAGAACAAACACCGACCTGCAGATCCACAAGACGAGGCAATTCTGAGGAGGAGGCGGCGGAGGAGGAGAGCAGAAGAGACACAGGGCATCTTTGTGGTACAAGGTAAATTGGGTAAACAGCTACCCAGCAGTGGCATCATCAATGCCTCACTCCCACTGTTTACCATGGAACGTGAGGAACGGACCTTCTTGCCTCCATTGGATTGGCCCATGGAGCCATGGCCAACAGAACGGACCCACACTTGGCAAGAAGGCGAGACAGGTAGGCCATGGAGTCTCTCCCCTACTAATATTACGTTTCTTGGAAGCTTGCCTTACAGAGCCACTTCTACATTTCTCCCCCTCCAATTCTCCTTTAAGCCCTGCACTTTGCTCTCCGGCGAGGTATAGAGAGAGAGAGAGAGAGAGAGAGAGAGAGAGAGAGAGAGAGAGAGAAGTAGT